GAGCTGCTACTACTGCTGAGGCTGCCAGGAAATGGGAGTCCAGCAGCCCCAGCCCTGATGTGTGCCCCTGTGCCTGGGCTGGGCAGAGCCGATGGACCTGCTGCAGATTGGTGAAAATTGCTCCATGGGCTGTATTTTGCCCACCCCTGCTCTAACTGTACTGGCCCTTCCACCTTGTACTTTAATCTGTATTTCCTGACCTATTTTCCCCAATGAGTCCCTACAGCATGACTGATTCTTCTTTCTATTCAATGTATGATCTGTATTAGTTCCCAACTTCCCTAGGTTGACTTCTTGGTACTGTCTCCATGTCACTTGTCTCCAATGCATTTCTTGGTTCTAAGTGGCCTTTGTAGCTCTTTCCATGCTCAGGTAATCATTGAATTTCACTAGTGTTCAACCAGGTATGCTTTAAGTAACCCCAAATAATGTCTACACTAACCTCAAATAATTCCTTCTACACTGCTCCCTCCCCCTCTTCTTTGTCTTTATTGAATAAACTTTTCAGCAGATTTCAGGCAAGCAGCAAAGATGCAGTTTTTGATTACCATCCAGTAGAGAGATACTGAAACTCCTCATCTTAAAATCCTAAGCTCATAAGCACATGCTTAAGCATTGAATGCTTAAGCATTCTCACAAACAAGCTAAGGAAGTATGGGTTGGATGAATGGACTGTAATGCTGATAGAAAACTGGCTGGATTGTCAGGTTCAGAGGCTAGTAATCAATGGCTTGATATATAGTTGGCAGCTGGTATCAAGTAGAGTGACCCAGGGGTCAGTCCTGGGGCTGGTTTTGTTCAATATCTTCATCAATGACCTGGAAGATGGGATAAAGTGGACCCTCAGCAAGTTTGAGGATGACACCAAGCTGGGAGGAGTAGTAGTTACACTGGAGGGTAGGGCTAGGATTCAGAGACCTTGACAAATTGGAGGACTGGATCAAAAGAAAGTTCATGAGGCTCAATAAGGACAAGTGTGTAGTCCTGTACTTAGCACAGAACAATCTCATGCACTGGTACAGGGTGGGGTCTGCTTGGCTAAGCAGCAGCTCTGAGGAAAAGGACCTGGTGGTTACAGTGGACAATAAACTGAATATGAACTAACAATGTACCCTTGTTGCCAAGAAGGCTAATGGCATACTGGGATGCATTCATAGAAGCATTGCCAGCAGATTGAGGGAAGTGATTATTCCCCTCTGTTGGGTACTGGTGAAGCCGAAATTGTTTTTCCCCCTGGTTGGGGTACTGGTAAAGCCACATCTGGAGTACTGTGTCCAGTGTTGGGCCCTCACTAAAGAAAGGATGTGAAAAAATTAGAGAGTCCAGCAGAGGGCAATGAAAATAGTTAGGGGGCTGGGGCACATGACTTCTGAGGAGAGGCTGAGGGAACTAGGCTTATTTATTCTAGAAAAGAGAACTGAGGCTTAACAGATGTTGTTAAGGAGAGAAGGAGACAGAGCCAGGCTTCCCCGGATGTCCACAGAGGATAATGTGGAAGCCTACTTAGAAGTCTTTGAAAGGACGGCCACGGCTGCAAAGTGGGACCCCAGCAGCTGGGCAGTACGGATCGGGCCACTTCTGATTGGGCCAGCACAAGCCGCCTATCACGTCCTTAAAAGATCCGA